CCAACACGGCTGCTAAGCGGACACACACACACATACACTCACAGAGGCGAAGTCGGGAACACATGGATGATGAAGGATCCCGGCCGCTTCCTGGCTGCCTGCACTTTGCTCCTGCCTGCAGCAATATGATTTATGGATGCATGTGCTGATATATGCCATGTGCCTCCTGTCTGTGCCACGCCCCCTGGCCACCACTCCATTTACCCCCACCCCTCGCTCCGTTGCACGTACGACTATTGTTGGCGCCGAAAATTATGCTACAAAATTTTTCTCTCTCCATAACTTGCTCACACTCGCCTGCAAGTTGCAGTGGTATTGGGGCTCATCTATTTGCAGTTCAAACAAAGAGAGACGTGTTGCCCACTCACACAAGCACACACACACACACACACGCACACATCCACTGGTAAATCAGAGCCACTTTAAATTGAGCATGTTACGTTGCATAAACCGTCCGAAGGACCCTCGTTACCCCCTTTCGAAAAAACATAACTCCACTGGCTTACCGGCAAAGTGATGTGTTCACTGTTTCTTTATCCTTCTGCCTCTCGCTCTCACTTCAGTTGTGGTCCTTTTGAGAGCAAATCTGTTTAAATGTTTGAGATGCGATTATTCCTACTCCTATTGTAAAGTGACTGTAGATAGTCCTTGCTCCTGAGAAGCTAAGATGCTTTTTGATTTTTATACCAGCTTGCGTTTGCCAGTTTTGTCTTGTCGTTCGAATGTTTACGAAAGCTATAATCTTTTTGAAGATGTGGTAGTTGAGAGCTTTACCTTTAATATTTAAACCTTAGAAAATAAAATTTACCACGAAAAAAATAAGCATGTGAAAGTCCAATATGATTATCCCTATCCTTTCCATACGCTGAACATAAGTGGCAACCATAAATTGTCATGTCTCAAATATCTCAAATAACCAAAACTGGGGATGAGATGAAAAATCACAAATTTTTATTCATGCAAAACACAAGACCAATCGGTGAAGGGAAAACGTTGAAAATAAATCCCAAAATCTATGTACTTGTGCACGTTGATTGCTTGGTCCGTGATGGAAAACCCTGCTCTCCTGCCATCTCGAATCTTCCCAAATCCCTTTGCCTGCTTTATCGATCAATCGACTTGCATTTACAATTCCTTTCGATTTTCCTACAGCCACTTTATCAATTTGCCCAATGAAATTCAACAGTTCTGCTTTTAGTTTTATTCTTTCGTGCTTTCGATTCAAGTCAAAAATGGATAAAAGGAAGCAAAACAGAAAAATCAAGAGGAAATGCATCATTCATCATCCGCTGGCTGTGCGAATTGGACCACTTTCGTGGCTTTCTATTGTTTGATTTGAAGTACGTAGCTGGCTGAATTCCAAATATGTTTAGATGGGAATTTTTCTAATTGAATTGATTGTTATAATTGCTGCAATTATTGGAATCACTCGATTTACTTTTCTTTTGGTCATAACTTGTGCAATTATTTGATGTTGTTTACTTGTTAATTTGTCAAAACTTTTGCTCTGAGTGCCAATTGCTACGTGAAAACATATTTTCAACACGTTGTAACTGTCAAATGAACTTGTCAGACGAAAAAGGTTTTCTTTTTCCATTGTCGCCAGCCGCCAAGCGTCGAACAACAGGTGTCCCTAATCATTGTTGCTGTGCGACAATTGATTCTTTTTTCCACATGCCACTCAAAAAATCTAGGAACTCATTTGTAAAACTGGCTAGGGTGTTCTTAATATTTTTGGGATATATTTTTGTATCTTTCTTTTATATATAATCTGTTTGGGGAAGTAAAACATATTTACTAACCCGTCCTGTGTTAAAGTTAAAATAATTTACGTTCCTTGTTCGAAAATTGAATTGTGTCTTTTAGTAGATACTGTGGTCACCTGTCCGAAACTGCACACCTATCAACAGTTGATACTAAGTCAATTACCCCGTCGTATTCAATGGCTCCAGGCTGTAGGCAAAATGCATTGATGAGGCGCCAGCCTGTCAGGACCTCGACTCAATCTCTGCCCGCTCCTTGGGCGCTCTAACGAGTTCTAAAACATTTCGCCCAGCTAAACGAAGTTCAACGCACTGAATAACAAGTAGTTTTTCCGAGCTCGCACAATTTTCCCCATTTTCCGTGTGCCTGCCAGCTTTGGCTGGCGTTGCGGAAGACTAAAGAGAACAGAATCTGACTTGAGACGAGGCAGCAGCACTCAAACTGAATCCTAATGAGGCGGGTGCTGTTGGTCATATGCGGCGTATACTTGATGCAGGTCGGCTCACCATTTCAGTGTTTTCCAGTGTGGGGGAACTAATGAGCAGCTAAATATTTGTTGACAGTCCAAATGCCAGCTCAGCGCTAATTAATAGCTTTGTAAGCTACAGAATTTAAGCCCTTTGTGCGGCTAATAAATTCGCCATTGTCAACAAATTAATATGACATTTCATTTATTTGCAATATGCATAATTATAAATTATGCATTTTACATAAAGACAAATAAAATCCGTAATTTTAATCGTTTATCTAACATTACCCCATCTTCACACTTAAATAATTATTCCCATTTGATTGGGTTTTCCATTGTGATTTTTTTTTACACCGTTTTTCCTCTTTTTTGTTATGGTTACATAATCCCTCTGTGTGTTCTGCCGACCACCATAACTTTGAAAGCACAATTTTATTTACTTTAATTAAAATGGATTAGTTTTCCCAGCATTCCCATCTGCATATTAAATATTTTTTTCTGTTTGGCTTTAACATAATGTGTGCTGTGATTTCTGCTGTTTTAAGTATTGATTTTATGTTTGAGCTAAAAAAATACATTTTAACTGCTGTCTTCTTTTGCATTAAACACCTCTAAAATCTTATTTAGAAAAAAAATGCTTTATGGAAATCTCTATAACTCCTAAAACACCAAGATACATCAAAATCGACACAAATTGGACAAAACAAGAGCCAAAGTCCAAAACCGATGAAGGAACAAAGAAAAAGGATTTAAAAGGATAACAAGAAGGCCGAGAACAAAAACAAAGGCGCGTTGATGTATGATGTTGCCAATTGTTTGAAGTAAATCAAACGGCACGAAATGGTTGATAGGGGGAAAATGGCTGATAGGAGGGATGACTGGGAGCTGGATAAGTAAGTGCAAGCCGGCAAAAGGCACATCCTGTGGTCGAGGCCCCAATGAAGCTACACAGCAACGGTTGCCAATGATTGCTAAGGCCTGGCTGGTCCTTAGGCTATCGGGCTTTATGCCAGCTGCCTTGGGCCCCAGTAAACAAAGCGCATTGAAAAATTGCCAGGAATAAAGTGAGCGACCAACTGCCGGACAGTGCCGGCCAAAAGCATGCGTCCATGTCCATGTGTTGACAGCTCTGAGAGAGCGACTGTCATTTATATTTCTGTTACCCTGCCGACCCGATTTTCGCACAGTTTGAGTTCTCCCCCACAAATACATTTTGGAGATCCACAGCGACTCACGACTGAGTAATTTAAAACTAATTAAATTCCTTTCTCTTTAAAGAGTAACGAAAAGATGTGAAGCTGGGATGCTTCCATTTTTTAAACAAATTAGACTTTGCTAGACTTTGAACAAATTGATAAATAAGTCTATTGTTTAAAACTATTCAATGAAGCTTATCATTTTGATTTACTGACTCGCGAGGAAATTTCTATTATCAGCAGTAAAAAAAAGTGAGCAATCAACTTCCGGACAGTGCAGGCCAAAAGCTAGCGTCCACGTCCGTGTTTCGACAGCTCTGAGATAGCGACTGTCATTTATATTTCGGTTATCCTGCCGCAGCCGATTTTTGACCCAATTTGAGCACACTTGAGCTTTTCAATCAGCCAACAACTCTTTCTAGCTGCGGTCACAACTTGAAAAGGGAAACAAGTCAGTAAGGGCAGTATTGCCTGTCGGCATGCCATTGCCATCAATTAACTGGAATCCAGATCGATTATTTTCCGCCTACAGACTCGGACGTTACCATAAGCCTACTTTAAATCAGGTTACAACCTAATGCGAATTTATGGCCGCCAAATGTCCATTTTAGAATTTTAAGCGTACTTGGCAATTTATGGTTTCAGTCTGTATTGCGGTTCCATCTTACATGGCAAATCTAGCTGCAAAGTTAATCCAAAATAAATTATCTAAATACGATGACCGAAAATGTCTGTAAATGTAGGCTCAATTACAACGAAAATTTAACCACAATCGCGATTGTTTAAACAAATAAAAAAAATATCATCAACCACATAATTTTAAACCTAATTTGAATGACTCAATATTGCTAAGTATTTTCATGTAATGGCAAATATACCTACACCCTTAGATGCCGTTCATATATCATCAAAACACAAACTCCACTCAAAAATTCTGAGCATGAAAAATGTATTTCCAAACATTTTGGTGCCCACCATTTTAAAATTAGCACAATTTGCGCAGAGCTGCAAAACTTTGGCAACGGGAAAAAAGAAAAAACCAAACAAAAAGTTAATTAAAACAAAAATTACGGACAGTGGTTGGTGGTGTTTGGTTGGTGGAGCCTGTACCGCAGCATTAGCAGTGCAGCCAAAAATGCAGCCAAAAAATCTGCGCACCATCTAAAACAAAAATTAATTTTTGGGCCATGGAAAGTTTTTATTTCGTTGTTCTATTGTTGTTGTTGCTGCTGCTGTTGTTGTTTCGCTGGCCAGGCGAGAGTTTGCATTGTTTTGCATATTTTATACGGCGGAAGTGTGTGCGTCCCACAACGGCAAAGGCACTCGCCGTCATTCCGGCCAGTTCGCTCCAAAAGGCGAAAACGAAAATCACAAAAAACGAAAAAAAAAGTATATGCAACACGCAAATTATGCAGGCGCATAAGACAAACTTTCTGTTTTGTGCGGATTCGACAACCGGCGAAATGAAAATTAATACGAAAGCCAAAAATGGTGGTTCACCAACACAAACACATATTGGAGATCCACAGCGGCAACTGGAGCACGACTGAGTAATTAAAAATGCAACAAAACAGGCGCAACGGAAAGACCACGGCAACTTTACTGAAGAAGATAATATCGGACGTGTTCTCAGAGTTCAATATCTGTAACAAACATAAAATTGCTTTCAGGAGCAGGCCAACAGCAATGGGAAACCAAATTGCAAACCCGAGCGGGATAGATCTTTCCTTGGCATGGCGATCCCTTCATTATGCACTTTCCAAACTGTCCCGACTTCATACGCCTGCAAGCTAAATCAATTAATTAGTTGCTTATCTATAACCAAAGGATACGTCCTGAAACTTACCAATATATCTCTTTTTACTTTCAGATACCTCTAGGAAAAACAGTAGGAGTAACGCAAGAACACAAGCGAGTTTGAATATAACCATTCTGTATAATATGGAAAGCAGTTGTGATGTTTCGCTATGCGCAAGACTGTGCAATAATGAGTTAAAATAAATAAATCTGCTGTGGAGAATTAATCAGTAAAGCATTTCACAAGATTTTCTGTCATTATATACGTTGCACAGCACATCGAGTTATCCTTGCAATATATATCCTTAAAGCGACCTAGTCCGCGTTTTATATTAGGAATAATGCAATAGCACCATGCCCTTTTTTCTTCGCAGACTGAAGACGTTTTTTAGGGATCAAAATTCCGACATACAGGTTCGCGACTTTCTGCAGTAATAGGAGAACTAAGAGTATAAAGTGTTTATTGGACGTCATATATTCACAAGTGCAGTTTTACACTGCATCCCAATAATTGTTGAGCTTTTTAACTATGTTTTAAAAGAGCGGAAAATCCCAAATCAGAGAAAATTGCTGATTTTACGCTTTAGCATTACCTCGAAAGCGAGCCTCTAATCGGTTCGATATTCAAGTTCGTTGCTATAACTGGTTTTCATTTCAGTGAAGATGCTGGAGAGAAATACGAAATACTTTAAATAAAATCAACAAACACCAACATCAGGCTTGAGTTTGCTGCTTTTGTTTTTTCTTTTTTTTTTGCCGGCAGCGACGAGCATCCAAAAAGGCAAAACCAGCCCCCAGGCATCAGTGAGATGTTCGGTTCCCCCATCGCTCCATCGCCCCAAACTCGCCCACATTCACTTTGATCGATCTCGCTGACGCTGCGAGAGGTCTCCTCAGTTACTCGAGACGATCGCTTGTCGCCAGACGCATTTTCAGCATTTTGGCTATTTTCGTGATTAATTTCGGAGAGCGGATACGTATTATAATAGAACCCGTGCTCCACTCTGTAACGTGAATGTTATTGTAAGCATTCAAACGCGCATGGATATCCAATCAATTTTGCTTTGTAATCAATCTGGCCGATGTGTTTCCTTTCTAATTTAGGTCAAGTGCATTGTTTGTGTAACACAGTGACCTAAAAAGTTGTAGTTTCTATATCAATGTGAAAGAAAAGTGCTTTAAACTGCCCACACAGAAACATATGCAAACACAAAGTGCAGTTGGCACAGTTTTACAACTACTGGAAGTCTCAACGTCAACACTTTGAGGGGAACTGTAAGTAGTGGTTTGTTCAAAACAAAATTATCAAATTAAAAAACTAAGAAAAATAATAACAAGGTAACAATTTTATTTTTTTGTTGTAATTTTTACTTAACAAATTATTGCTTCAAAACGTAATTAAAAATATTTTAATATGTCAATATATGTACATATAAAATTGTCTGTTAGAGTTGTTAATGTTTTAATTTATTTTATTTATTAAAAAAATCGAACTTTTTTAGAAAAACATCCCTATTTTCTAAGATTTAATTGGTGAAATTTATTTAATAAACAATTCAAATAATTTGAATGGCAAGAACCAACATCCCACCTATTTTCTACATGTCGAATGTATATCAGTAATTTTACTTGTGTAAAGTGTATAATAGCGCCACTCAAAAAAGGCTCCTGATTTTGTTATAGCATATATCTTAAGCAATAATCCGTTTGTTTACAATTAAATTGTAATAATTTGAACTATTCCTGAAATTGACTATAGTTTGATATATGTATAAATGCCATTTGATTGTAAGCTACGAAAAAATGTTTCGTTATATTATTACAGAAACTTTTGTTGAAGTTAGTTTAAAACATAACAAATAATAATGTAAGCAAAAAAGATTGTATGAGCTGGTGGACTTATTTATATATATAAAGCTAACAATATTTTTAAACTTTTAAAAACAATAAAATATTCAAGTATTTTTTAGTACATTGATGAACGCCCGGAACTAAATCCAGCAAAATGAGTCAGTCTTGTCTACCAGTTAGCGCAAAGATGTCGAAAGCAAAGAAGGTCTTGGATGAAGCCCGAGAAACTCAAAACCGGGAGTTGGATCTGGTGGACAAGGGTCTAACGTCCTTTGAGGAGCTCCCTGGACTGTGTAAGTAACAAAACCAAAATGTTTGGAATAAGGAAAATCGTTGTTTTCCAAAGTTAAGTGAACATCCTACAGACACTCCCACGCAAAATAGGGCCTCGCCCAGCTGTTGAGATTAACTTCAAATTAGTAATGTTTAAATGTTTTTAGTTAACTTTACCATTGCATTTGCACTTACCTTAATCTGAGAGATGTAATTTTCTTATTGAATCAATGCTTTCGGGTTTATTTATTGCGATGACGCCAGCACCAAAATAGAAACCAGTCAGTGCACAGAATGTAAACAAACTATTAATTAACTTAAATGTGGTTGCCAAAGACTTTCATACAAGATTAATAGCTTTTACTTGTAAATTTTTTTAAGCCTAATTAAATTTAATATTTATAAAATTTTTTTTTAATCTTTTAATCTATAAAATTTTGTGAATGACAACAATGCTCATGCGCATGATATTATAGTTATCTCGCTCTAACTTCTGGCGTCTAACAGCGTCAGCTGTTTACATTTGAACCCAATGCGAAATTTGCTTCGGATTTAATCCGTATCCGTGTAGACAACGAATAAAAATTTAAATAAATAGATTACGTATTTATGTCATAATTTTATCATTAACGACTCTTCTTTTTCACTTCCAGTCAACATGTCCAACATCACGCGTCTGACTCTTTCCCACAACAAGATCAGTGTGATAAGTCCCGGAATTGCGAATCTGTTGAATCTGGAGATCCTCAACCTCTCGAATAACCAGCTGACCGAATTGCCTGTTTCTCTGTCATCCATGCCCAAGCTGCGAATCCTGAATGTGTCCATTAACAAGCTGATTAACCTTCCCCGAGGATTCGGAGCCTTTCCCGTTCTGGAGGTGTTGGACCTGTCGTATAACAATCTGAACGAACAGGTGCTGCCCGGAAACTTCTTTGGCATGGAGACCCTGCGTGCTCTATATCTAGGCGATAATGACTTTGAGTATATACCAAAGGAAGTGGGCCAGCTAAAGAATCTTCAAATTCTTGGACTGCGCGACAATGATCTTCTGGAGCTTCCCCGTGAAGTTGGAGATTTGGCACGACTCCGCGAGTTGCACATTCAAAACAATAGACTGCAGGTTCTGCCGCCGGAAATCGCCAATCTGGACCTTTTGAGCAACAAGTCGGTGATGAAGATGGAGGAAAATCCCTGGGTCAATCCCATTGGTGAGCAATATCTGCTGGGAATCAGTCACGTGATCGACTATCTCAAAACGGAGACATATAAAATGTGAGTTTACTTAGCTTATATTTAAGAAAAAGTTGTAAACCTTTTTGAAATCCTCCTTATAGAATCTACAATCGACATATGCAGGCAGGACGAAGTGGACCACCGCCACCCAAGGCTGACAAGAGCAAGAAAGCCTCTCGAATACGCGCATAGTTTTTCTCCGCCACAAGCTCCCATGAAATAATGTGTTCGTCTCGTTCGTTGTTAACCAAAACAGTTTTTGTATACTAATATTTAAGTATTTGTAAACTAATGTGTAGTTTCGCAAAAGTGCCTTCATCTAATAAACGTAAAGAAATGAATTTAAAAATGTTTTTGTGGGTTCTATTCAGCTATTTTTTTCACCTTTAAATGAGTAAGAAAAAAAAAACACAAGTTTCTATTTTATAAAATAGTAGGTTTTTCTTGTTTTTTTTATTATCTTTTCTCATATTCATTCATTCTTTTTTTAAGAAATTTGTTTCATAATCATAATTAATTAGTTTACTTAAAGTCAATTAATTAATTCTTTATTTATTTTAATTAAATTAATAGTTAAATGTTTTTTGTTTTTGTTCTTTGTTTGCTATGTTGTTTGAGAAAAACCAAAAGCATAGTTTTGCTTTGTTCGCTTTGAGTTTGTTTCGTTTCTTTGCATTTTTCACTTGTCAATTTGAATTGAATACATACTTCATATATCAATTTATGTAATTTAATTATTTTGTAAACTTATTTTGCTTTTACTGTATATGCAATTCAATTTTAATTTATTTCTTACAATATATTTTAGTATTTATATTTATATATACTTCATAGTTTATTTACAAGAGTTTGAAGATGTTCATTTGCGTAGAGTCTTGCTGGAATTAAAAGTAAAGTATCGCAGGAGAAAAATCAAAACGCCAATTCGAGGCAACTCTATGGTAAACCATATTTTAAAATTGGATTTCAGATTAAAAATGAACACAAGGATTCGAACGAAATAATCAAATAACTACGATCCTATTAATGTCTTTTATTGGAGTAGTGCATCAGTCGGGACTCCGTGAGTTGCACGTTTCATCTTTGAGCATGCAAATACGAAACACAGACAAAAACAAAAAACATAAACTAGTAACCTATGAGACTACAACAAAGTAAATTACAAGCACGCGTAGACCCGTTTTTGCGCGACCTACGATTTACAAAATACACATGTTCATAAAAATAGATTTCAGTGTTGGCAGATATACACATACATGATAGATAACATTAAACATAATCAGTGGCGGTCTTGCTACCAGATTGCTAAAACATAAAGCTTTAAACCTAATACTAATAAAAATTGACAATAGAAAATTGTACCTAAGATAGTAAAAATACATGAAATATAAAAATTAGTTACTTAGTTTGCCTTTCTTCTGCACAAGGAAAATTTATACGGAAAACAATCAAAGCGACGTTCAAAAGACGTACAGAGAAATGCGTTTAGCAACGATTTTAAAAGAATGATTCCACCATTATTTTTAAGTCTCGCTCGTTCATTTAATATTTGTGGTTTTTATACTTTTTGGTTTTCATGGTTTTTTGCTAGTTTACAAATGCAATTTTGACGGCTTTAAATAAACGATTAGCCTTCGGTACAGATAAATACAATTTAAATGCTTTGTTGTTTCCGTTCTCTTGTTGATGACGCTTAATTAATTCGCACTGTTTTTTTATTAATTTATTTTTTGTACAAACACATTTTTGTGATTCAAGTGTGTAATTAATTTTGTATTCTTGCCTATCGCTTAGAAATCTCACCGACATATAGAATGCTTTTTTCATACAATTAAACATTAGTTTTTCATTTTATGTATAATATTTGTTTGTTCTGGCTGCTGTTTTTTCATATTTGTGTATGCATCATAAATATATACACACAAATGTATATATTTACCTGTCGTTTTTAAATGTATTATGCATGTTGCCGTTTTTTAATTATTTATATTAATCATAATTTGCATTCGTGTTTTCCATTTCAATTTATTTAATCAAAAATATCATTCACTTTTAGCTTTTTCTATTTTATGAAATTTGTCTCTTTTTTTGTTGTTTTTTCTTTCTGGCGATTTTTCCCTTGTGGCATACAAACATGTTTTAAATAAAAATAATTATCATAAAAATTACATTTACATTTAATTTGAGTTCATTTGATTTATGTTGTTTTTGCTTTTGTTGCTGTTTCGGCTGTGTTGTTTGCTGTTGTTGTTGCTGCTGCTTGAGTCGCTTACCCTTCGGCCTTTTGTGGCGCTCCATAGCAACTTTTGGCTGTCAAACCTTGCTGTTGTTGGGCGCCCGCGTAGTGGATTCATATTGGCCCCGCCCCAGTGCCGCATAGGCATCGGCGTAGGCGTGATGCTGCTGCGGCTCCAGCTGCTGCTGCTGCTGTTGCAGCAGATGTTGTTGCTGCTGTTGCTCGTGCAACGATGTCGGCCGACTAAAGCTTACTTGAAGCTGTGGCGGCGCGACGCCTAAGAAGGGAACAAAAATGAAAATAGATTATAAACTATTACTTTGAAGTCAGTTTGTTTTGTTAGTAAACAATTAATTTGTAGAGCATTTTATAATAATATTTGCATAGTTAATTTATTGGTTTTTTTTTTAAATCAATAATAAAAATTTGAATCACCTGATATGAGTCAATGCCAACAAAAATAATTTTAAAATGCTTTTGTCTTTATGGTTAATAAAAAATTAGTTTTTCATCGACAAGTCTTAAATATTGTGTTAATAAAACCATTTAAATGCACATGCAAAAACATAACAACAACAATACAAAAACTTTACAAAAACTAAAACGAAGGGGAGTACTACACAAACCAAGGATATTCAGGGATAAAAACACATGCCAGGTGGAGGAGGACAAAAGTACGGCCAACAAATTAACAGGGACCAAAGTACATAAAAAAAAAAAACTAAAGAGGGTCACAAACCAAAAGAGGAGCAAACATAAAGAGATGGGAAAAAAATCACAAAGGTCATACCAATCGCTTCGGTTAAATGAAATATCATTTTCTTTTTTGTTTGTGTTTTGGTGGTGGATGGGAAGCAACAACTCATGGATCGATGACTAGCAGCGGACGCTTTTTGGTTCTTTTTTTTTTTTTTTTTTTGATTGTTTTTGCACGGGATTTGCGGGGTCTGTATTTTAGTGTTATGTATGGCAAAATGATGGATCCACTCCTAATAAACGATATTCCGGCGCACCGGCTTGACGGCCTTCTCCTTGCTGCTGCTGCGACTGTTGGCCTGCTGCGACTTTATCGACTTTGAGTCTTTGGCTTTGGCACTTTTACCGCTCTTGTTTTTACTACTACTGCCCGCCCCCGATCCCGATCCCGATCCCGACCCACTGCCGGCCGCCGCTGTGGATGAGTTGGTGGTTGTGGTGTTGGAGGTGTTGTTGGTACGTGATGATCGGGACTTATTGCGTGGTGGTAGTTCTGAATTTGTAGCGTTTCGCAAACGAAAAGAAAAACGACAAATTAAATTCGTGGAAAAACAGGGGAAGATGGTTTTTTTTTTTGGAAAAAAAGACGGGGAAAAATGAGTAGCGTATCTGGGAAGGCAAAACTACCAGGGCTAAGTCTTTTTTATTTTGGCGGGGGGAGAGAAGGGGTCTACGAAACACACCTTTCGGCGTGTAGAACGCTTGCTGTTGCTGCGGTTGCTGCTGCGGCGAGATAGCCGGCTGCTGTAGCTGTAGTTGTTGTTGTTGTTGGTGCTGTTGCAATTGCGGATGTGCATTTGGCGGCGGCAATGGCAACGGCAGCTGGGCCCGGGCCACCACACCGCCGCTGCTAATGGCCGCCTGAACACCACCACCAATGGAACCCGGTATCGCCTGTTCGGCTCCATACCCGCCATGTGATCGCGCCGCTCCACTGCCGGCGCCACCACCCGCCGTCGCCTGTGGTCTTCCACTGCTGGTGGACCGTGTGCCCCGCCCGTCGCTTCTTCTCGCCTGATTCGCCGCCGAGTTGCGGCTCGCATGACTGCCGCCGGTGGGCAGTGGCACGATCGAGTGCTGAGCGTGCTGAGGATGCTGGTGCGACCGGGAGCCCCCGTGACCCCGTCCACCGCCTTGGCCGCCACTGCGTCCGTCGCCGCCGCGGGGATAGTGCTGGGCCTCATGGGCCGGCGGTGGTATGCTTCGAGGTCCCGCTCCTCGCTGATTGGGATGACGTTGCTGCAAGTATTTTCAAATAAATTATAGAACTCCAAGTAAAACTAAATCATTGACCTACCATTCTTCGCAACGTATTCATGGGCGCTCGCAGAGTTTCACTGATGCGACGAGCTCGCCTCTTCTTCGGATTCGAACTGGGCGTGTGCACGGCACAGCACTTGATGAACGCCCCCATCACAACGATGAAGGCGACGCCCATCAGAACCACCAGATACCAGTTGCCGACGATCCACTCGGCGACCGTCTGCAAGGTCTCCTTGTTCAGCAGGAGATTCTTGAGCCGTACCAGCGGACCGTCGGCGTCGACGGCTCGACACTTGAGGAACACATCACAGTAGCCCTGGAAGTTGTCGCAGGGCGAACCCGGCTGCAGACTAATGCCGCCCTTTTGGATGTTGTATTTATCGGCAAACTCGCTGGTACTGCGACAGGTTGAGGTATCATCCCCATCCTGGCAGGCCAAATCGCACAACTTTCGCTTGTCCACATGCGGCAGGGATGTCGAGGTGAGGAAACACTTGGTCATGTTCCACAGCAAACAAGGCGATCCACTGCACTCGCCACGGATGCACAGTGCAGTTCCGTTGTTGCACATGGTCTTGTCATCCCGATGACGCGGCTCCGGACACTCGGCGGTGGTTCCGTTGCAGGTGCTCGACCAACTGCACTCCGTCTCCTCCTTGCACTTCTGGTGGGAACTGGTGGGCACAAAAGTGCACGAGCTGGACAGACAGCATGGACCCTGCGACGGTGAACACTGCGTCTTGGCGCGGCGCGTGCACCCCTTGGCACTGGAGTTCAGCGACTGGTCGTACTCGCTGATCAAGCGCGGATAGCAGCACTTGTCGTTGCACTCGTCCTCGTTGAAGCCGCAGTCGCACTCCTCGCCGGACTCCACGATCTTGTTGCCGCAGAAGGCGCCCTCCGAGGCCTTGAAGCAATTCCGCTTCGTGTTGCCCACCAGCACGTCAAGAACATTGGAGATATTCCGAATGGAGCAGGGCGAGAACTTTGAGTTGTTCGGCCGATCGCCTGAGGTGGCACTGGCAAACATAATATAGTTGCCATTATTTCCTCCGGGGCGACACTCTTGTGGATAGTCGTGCTGGGGATAGAAAAATATACAAAACAGTTAGTAATATTCAACTTATTATATCCATTTTAATAGAACATACAGGTGATCCAAAGTTATGGCCAATCTCGTGGGCCAACGTCAGCTGGGAGACCTTCGGTGGCACTCGGCTGTTGTAGTTGACAAAGGTGATAATACCCGTGTTCAGGGATCGCTTGGTGCTCTGATACTGTCCACCCACCGTTTCCGTGTAGGTCTTGTACTTCTCGCAAATTCCACCAGATGCTCCCGAAGCACTTGCCACCCAAGCCAAACCCAAGGTGCCACCCGTGAAATCTCTGTAAAATAAGAATGGTTTTAGTACGACTCACTTTACTTATTAACTAGCTAACTTACCTGTAGGTAAACACATAAGCCAAGCAAAAGTCTGAGTGATCTTCCAGGGAATGCAGATTCAAGAAGTTCGAGACATCCATATGCTCATTGCAAAAGGCGTTGTGTGGACCATTATAGGAATTTCGACAGGCTGAATCGTCATCGATCTTAATTCGTTGCACCTAGAAAAACAAATAAAAATATTTAAATGCAAACATTTCTGTAACATTCAATGAAAGCAAAAAATTGATTATTTCATTTTCTGCACTCAAACAATTATTTCCTTTCAAATGTTTTCTTTTATCAAATTAAACTTGTTAAAGGAACCTTAAAATTTAATAAGTCCCATGGGTAATATTTTGCAATCAAAGTGTGTGAAAAACTGTCCCACATTTTGCAGAAATAATGTTTTATTTTTACGGCTTCAATTATCGCAGTCAATTAGTCGCGGATGACACGGGAACTGTAATCTAGGAAGCCCGGATGGTGCTTTAATATACCGGGCACTAAAGGCCTGTCTACACACGGTTTCATGGTTTAACCAGCTACCAATGTCCGCTTGTGGCCAGAGGTCCTGCGAGGCGGGTCCTGCCGCTTTTGTCCTTATCTCATCATCATTGTTTGTCCGCGGAACGGACACGGCTGTGTGTGAGTGTGTGTGCGGGTGTGTGTGTGGGCATTTGTGTACTCACCTCAAAGCGTATGTTGCGATGCTCGGTGCGTCCATCGAACTTTGTGTTGCGGTAAATGTAATTAACGGCCGTCACGTGATGTGCAATCAGCGATGTGATTTCCTCGCGCGTTTTCACATCCACCTCAGACTTGTACCTGCGATCGTGCTGTAAACAAAAAATTAAAAGCTCAAAAGGTGTTGACATAAAATTAACACGGGTTTTGTTAGCATAAATTTGAAATTTTTTACGCCCTCAAATATACGTTTGTCCCTATAAAAAACATAACAAATCGATGAGTTATAAATTAATTATCATCTAAAGCTATTTACATATTCCAATTAATTCGATTTACAATTGCATGGCAATTCGTTTTAGTTAAAATTCAGCAATCTAGATTTCATTTTAGGTATGAGTCTGCATAACTTTGCTGAAAAGTATAATTTGAATTTGAAAAATAATTGTTTGCAAAGCGAGCAGGTAGACAGATTTAATTAACGTAAAACCACTCCAGTTTTAGGGGAAGGCTGGGGTAATAAAAATCTCAAAACCGCAATGCGTTTGGAGAGCGGAAATGCGCCTGACATCTGTGTAAACGGGTCCGTGAATCCCCACCGCGCCAGACAAACAAAAAGGAGCACCCCGAAAATGCCCCTTTCATCTGGATCTCGTCCAATCCACTCCATGCCAACTCCCACCCAACAAACACCCTTCAAATATATTTGTATAAAAATGCAAATTCAGCTAAGCCCGTCGAATATTTCAGCTGAAGTTTATAAGGTTTTATGCGCACTCCCCAAACATCCGGATTCAGCATCAGCCTTCCACCGATTTTGGCTCAAAAATCAAAACGCCGCGGGGCGCAGGAGACAAAAACAAAGGCTAACGAAAAATTCGAAGAGATTTAACAAGGCGAAGTTCATGTACCCTTGCCAAGAATTAAATGTTTAGTTAAAATTTGATTTGGAGTATCAAATAAGAAATAAAAAGGAATAAAAATGAGCAAGCTAAAAATAATTTACTGACAACAAGAAGTATAAGCTTATTTTTAATAAAAATAACATAAAGTTTTTAAGTATCGATTTTTCTGGGGGCATTCGTTTTAAATAAAACCTTTCTAACTTTACTTTATTAAAAGCTTTCGATCGCAAATATAATACTCCGTTGCAGGGTTTAAAAACCTGAACAGAAATAGAATAAAAAGCGGATAAAAAGCGCGAAATAAAGAGAGTATCGGAGAAAGAGTGGGCGAAACAAATGCGCGAATTATGCAAAACTCATTGCAAATAAACACACGTGAGGAAGAGAGAGTGGAGAAAGTGGAGACAAGGACGAGACAGGGGGGAGGGCGTGGGCGGAAACGGAAATAAGGCTGGCACTCTGGTGACGAGGATGTTGACGTCGACATCATCTCGCGTACAATGCGAAAAAATGAACGTAAACATAAAAGTGCGGCGAAAGAATGGCTCCAAATGGATGAGGGGTGCAGTGGGGGTAAGTGGGTGGTAAATGGTGGGGCGGTGGAATACGGTTGCGGGCCATAACGGTTGATTGCATACGCTGTAGGAGCCGAAGGAGGTCAGCTGATTGGATGATTGCTAAGCTCAGTTCGCTCTGCAGATGCCCCGAAAAGTAGGCAATTCTGTGGCATGCGACACAAAAGGGTTCGCCGAGTTTATGGAGCGTGAAAATTCGCTAAATAAGTAGGTAAACAAATTCGGGATTGTTTATATTTAAAATAGTGAGTTTAATAAGCTCGTGGCATAATAATTTTATGTAAAAATGTAAGAATATATATTTTAAATTTCTGAGACAAAGATTAAAAAAAAAAGCTATAAATTTGTAAAATTATTTGAGGAAATGTTTCTTGGAACAGCTTTGTGAAAATTAATCGCATTGTTCTATGCAATATATAATTTCTCAGGTATTTTACAAATTTCTACGAATCACTGAACCATAAGCCCCTGAAATAGGAACCTTAAAATTATGGTGTAGGGCGCCAGACAATTTCTGTTTATCCATAAAAAAAGTGCCTAACAACTACGATGTCTACGTGCCTTTGATATTCCCATTCCAGAAATATCCCGCCTTCTTTGTTTTATGCGCACTTTACTTTCATGGAAAGCCTGTTGGCTCGTAAAAAATTGCAAAAATTATGGTGTTTTTTCCTACTTTTTCCATATTTTAATTTGGCGCACGTGCCTGTTGTCAACGCCACAGACTTTTAGCTCTAGTCAGGCCTTTTTTTTATAATGTACCTATACTTTAAATTAGATCAAGCATAAATTTAAATTAATTTTCAAACAAATCGTAAAAATCAATAAAATGAAGCACAATTTGTTTGTTGCTTGCCCCTTGATTATTTTTTTTTTTAATTAAAGGTAAACTTACATCGGAAATGCCTTCGCGTATATGGCGCCAAATCAATGGATCCGTTTGAATGTAGAGCGAGCAGGTATTATTATTGTCCGCGCGACCGCGTCCAGTTCCACCGTCGGTGGCCCGTCGCACCCGCTCGTGGACGAGCTGATGCCAGTCGGCCACGTTGGCGGATGAGCCGAGGCGACGTCCGGTCGAAGGATCATAGAACGCCCCCTCGGCGATGTTCGCCTCCTTCGTGTACTTCTGGTGGGGATACTTGAAGTCCTCATCGCCACTGATGTATTTCTTGGGCGGATGGGGCTGATGTTGCTGCTGCTGCTGCTGTTGCTGTTGCTGCTGCTGTGGGGCGGACTTTTGTGCAGCTGCTTCCGGTGGAGTTTCTGGTAGTCCTTTGACATGGGCTCCGGCAACTCTTCGACGGCTGAATTTTGTATGTTCTCCATCCACTGGGAGACCTCATCCGTGATGCCACAGCCGGCCACGTGACCTGCAAAGGAGGAACAAAAGCTTCGAATGAATGCGGGAAGTAAGTTGGTTGGAAACACAAAAAAAAAAAATGTATGTATATATAGGGGCAGAAGAATGAGGAATGTTAATTTGCTGATGCAGTCCGGCATTTGGGGTTTCCCTATCTTTCCGAACTCAATGGGGAAATTATTTATGACCTACCAAGTGAAAGCCACAAAAATGTAATTAAAAGGCAAACCCACACAGATGCGGAAAAATTTTAATGCAAATGCCGAAGTCAAATGTTTAAGTTAAGAGTTTAAATGAAAAGGTGAAGCTTTGAAATATCGCTGGGAAAATGGATGGAAATGCACTTTAAAAGTGTATCAACAATTATATTTACTGTTTTGCCGGGCTCCTGGCGGAGCATTGTCTTGGGCAGCGGAAACCGTTAATAGCCGCTAGCCGGTAATGAAAATTTATTGTTTTATTGTTTAAGCGCAGCCAGAGAGACGCGCTCTGCTGCTGCTCTTTGTCCACAACCGAGGACGCGTTTTGCACGCGATTCGCTCGCGTTTCTACCCCTCATCGCGATTGTCAACATTAAATAAACCAAAAGGGACGAAACGATGCAACAGGGCGGAAAACCGAATAAAGTACAGCACCACAGAGTGGCGCACATTTTTAAAAGCTGTGAGAGTTTTATGGTCTCAGCCATTTACATTTATTTCCAGAATAATCTTCTGAGTTACGAGAGCTGTCCCGAATATCTGGGGCAGTGAAACGAATATTTAAGTTCAGCGAAAAATGAATAAAGCCGTATGCGATATGAAATTTTATAATTAAAGTAATACTTTTTATTGGAAGTACTGGGGATGCTTCATGAAATCAATTAATACGTGGATCGAAGGGCTTTACTGAACACGGCAAAGCCTTTCATATTTATTCAATCGTTATTTTTAAATATTTTTGTAAAACAAAAGATTAAAATGTATTAACGAACGAACCAAAAATCCCTAAGTTTATAATAAAAAGTGAGTGTAAATCATTATTTTTAATGAAATTTAAGAAAATATTCCTACAGTTGTGTTTTCGAAGACACTCTGCACTTTTCATTAAACATCATTTATGCCACTCGCTCGGCTGCTCCTTAAGCACCTTCTCGCCTTTCCAACCGGCTCCTTTTGAGAACCCACTCAGCCAGCACGAAAGTCATAACATGGCAACAGGATTCGGCTCCTTGCCGGCACTCTTTCTTGGCACTGGCAGACGGAGGATATTCATCCTGGCGCCAGGACGAGGACCGCTGTCCAGTCCAGTCAGCTTCCAGTGCAGATGCAGCTTTCAGTGGAGCTATAAATTTTTATTTGGCTGATGCTATTGTGTCAAGCAAGCGGGGGCGGCACGAAGTTGGTAGAGACTCCACTGCTTTTGCCTTTGCTTCTGCTTTTTCTGTTGCTTTTGCTGTTGCCGTGCCATTACCATTATGCATTTGCTTATTCTTCTTCGTTTTCTTCGCGCTCGCTTTTTATTTGCCCATTCCCGAACTGTTTGTCTTTATTACAAGCATTTTGGCGGCGTTGTCGTACTTCACTGCAGAATGGCAACGTTGCCAATGGAGCACGCGACCTACGCCAAATTTAAAGCACTTCAAAAAACCTAAAATGCTTTTAACAGAAAATGTGGAGATAATACCCGCAAAAGTTGTAAGCAAAAGATACTTAAGTATTTAAGCTTCGCGGGTATTACTTAGTATCCAGAATAATTATGCATATTTAAAGTTTGTTTATTTTTTCCTGCCACATTTTCCGCAGTGCAGCGTGCCGGGGATGCAGGTGGAATGCTTCCCCAGGAAAAGCCGGAGCCGGAGCCATGAGCCATAGACATAGAAGGGAGCCACTAAATACGTAAACCCTCGAGAAGCCAGCAAAGCCGCAGCAGGCACAGCTTCCGCAAATGCCACCCCCACCCCCTTCCCCCCTGCGACGCTCCACGGAATCCACAGTGGCATGCAATTTGCATATCAAAGGCAAAACCCTCGAGTTCGCTCTGCCTTCTCTATATATCCCTCGCAATGTTTTATTTTGTTGCATGCCGCTTCTTACTCCAATGACCCGTTTTTATTTCATTTTGCTGCATCGCCTTCTGCTTGAATTTTCCCACCCTTTTTCCCCCCATTTTTCCCTCTTACTTTTAGGGCAGCTTTATTGTTGCTGGGCGCTCTTATGAGTTTTCGAGTGTAAGATGGAAGGAGGCTGGCTGGGTGCATTCAATCGGTATCTGATGTTGCCTAGCCAACCCCAAGATGTTGTCTGATTTTCGGTTTTTATGCCACAACCAGCTAGCACAGCTCGCTTTGACCAACGACAGTGCCACGTTCTCATGTGATCCACACCGCCCCCACAAGCAATTCCTAATCCAAAGCTCCACCCCATCCACGTTCTTTTACTGCACACTCCCCGCCCTTTTCCCATTTCAATCAACAGCTGTTGAGTCGCCATCGCCAGCGTAATAGAGAGCGCGTCTCCTGCACATTTCATTTTTCCAATTTCTCCGTGCCACTCAACGGCTGCTTTTTGCCTTCTGCCTTCTGCCCCTTTTCCCCACTCTGCTCCATCCTGGATTTATCCGCCTTGCTTCTTTGCTCCAGGACAACTCCTTTTCCGCACACGCAGAGAAAATGTTCTAAGGCACGGATTCAGAATTTATCCTAATTTAATAGTTGGATTAGGGAACAGACTTAAAAAAGTTCAGATACTAACTGATACCCTTTCAAATATTTTTAGTTATCTTTGAATTTTTTAAAATAATTATTCCTATAAACAATAAATTTATTATTTAATGATTAGTTCGTTAAATACTAAAAACAATGTCGAAGTCACAATCAACTCAATCTCTATCTCTTGAAAATGTTACAAAAAATTGTTTAGAACGTTTTTGTAAAAGAAAGTTAAGAGTCGCTTTTGCTGTATTTTTAAGTGGATTCGACACTGGCTTCATTTGCTGTCACACATTTGTGTCGCACATCCTTTTACCCCCCTTCACTCCCCCTCCCCCAGCGACACTTCAATCATATTTCGCTTTAGCTTTAGCTTTGAGTCCATCGCCCAGCGACTCGTCGAGATTTCTGCACAAAGATTAAAGTGCACTTTTGTGTTATCTTTTTACTGGAGTTCAGATCGACGCTTGCACTTGTACAAGGTTTTCACTGCTCCTTCGATGTTTTACGTGTTTTTTGTCGCAAGATTTCTATTTTATTTTATTCTTTACAACATTTTTTTGTCCTTTTTCTTGTTGCGCCAATTGAACAAAAGCCACGCGCGCGCTCGCTCGACTTATGAATTTTACAACTTCCGTTGCCAGTCAAGCTCAGGGCAGCTTGGGTTTTGTCGTTCTGGTAGCCTTCCAACAAAAAAAAAAGAAACTAAAGAGGGTTTAAGTAGAGTGGTAAAACTTCTAAATACCCTATATAAGCTGCACAATAGTTAGCCTTTTGAAACGTTTACAATTTCCACATTTAGAAATGTTTCGGCAAAAGAAGTTTGCTTAGATTTTTGTATAGGCTTCTCAGAATTAAGGCAATCATATAGATGATCTCTACTAGTTTACATTTTATTTCTATAGGGAATTTAAAAACCCATTTACAGTCAAAACTACCCTCGATGTCAAAGATTACTGGGTATAAAGTGGGAGTCGAAGCAGGAAAAATTCAGCTTGAGTCGGAGACAAACGACGTTCAGACATGCAAGCGGCTTTCGTAGCTGGGCTTTTGCCACCCCCTTCTCCTCGATCCTTCCTGCCACTCCCCCACCGCCCAACGCCCATTTTCGTCTCCCAATTACGGGCATGGACCCATTCAGGCCACTTGTGGCCTTTGCTCTCTGTGCAAGTGTGTGTGAGATGCGCAAGCAAAAATGAAAAATAATCCCAAATTCAATTGCAAATGAAATTGAGGGCGAAAGACGCCATAAATACACACACACACATACATATACTTTGGCACACAAAGAGCATTCGAGCCCACCCCAAGGAACCCCAAACCGAATCAGCACCCCAAAAGGCCATAACAGACGCTTTACACAATTTCGACGCTTTAAAAGAAAAATAAGGAAACAGCCAAAAGGAAAAAAAATTATAACTGAATAAGGAACACCAAATATTTGAGGCAACAAATGTTAACGAAATTGCAACAAAGACGTCGAATACTCTGGCAAAGAAAAATACATGAATGGGAGTATTGCATTCTGCTACAGATAAAAAAATAGTTTCAAAGTTGTTAATATTTATTTAATAATTTACTATTGAAAATGTGCATTAAATGGATTGGAAAAATAAAAAGCCATCCATACAAAATATAAGCTCATAATGATTATATTTTGTATATATTTAAACATTTCTTCTGGAGCTTAAACAATTTTGTATTTTTCTTTCCTTTTTTGTGGTCCCTGTGAAGCAGAGCAATAAAAATGAACTTTTATTTTTAAATCTTATTAAAAGCACATTCATTAGGGATAGAATAAAAAACGAGTCCCATGAAATGATTTCCATTTAACGATTCCCAAACAAAATTCTAAAACTCCTTCCCTCCTTCTTCTTAGGAAAAATTCAAAAATTATATAGCATACAACTGGGCGCAATAAATGCTGTGGGCCAAGTCGTGGGCGTACATTAAATGGGCGTGGCATGTGCGTGTTTGCTGCTGGCGTTGCTTTTGCATTAACAAGTGGAAATCATCGCAATCGCAAAATGTTCGCCTCCGCTGCTTTTGGCGCTGCCGTTGATGCGTGGATGTCGGGAGCACAATTCATACAATTTTCCCTAATTTGCTTTTATTTTGTAAATGATTTGATTACCACGTTGTTACCGTTTCATTCCGTTCCCGCTGCTGTTTATTTATTTAATCATTTCTTCCTTTGTTTATTCAGCCCCTGTCCCCATGAGCATCGTCAGCGAGTTTAGTCTTAATTTGTTTACACGACAATTGCTACGCTTTTTATATTTGCCTTAATTAAAAATGTTTTAATTTGCGCAATTGTTTGA